GGTCTAATGTCAAAGATGGTGGTTGAGGTCAAAGGTCAAAGTTGGTGGATGAGGTCAAAGGTTAAAGTTGGTGGATGAGGTCAAAGTTTAAAGTTGGTGGATGAGGTCAGGGGTCAAAGTTGGTATTTGAGTTCAAGGGTCAAAGTTGGTGTTGGATTTCAGGGGTCAAAGTTGGTAGTTGAGGTCAAAGTTTTCTTTTCAGGTTATCAGATGAGAAGAAGCATGCAGATAAAGAAACCACAGGTATGGTCATCAAAATATTTTCAATTTACCAGTCGATAGAAATGAAATGGTGTCATACCTGCAGTGTTCAATGAGGTAAATTCTGCAGGATATTAGGATTTCAGTTTCCACCCATCAAGAATTTGAACAGCCTTCAGCACGCAGGACCTTAGTTTATTGTCCCATCCAAAGGACTTTTTCATGCCGGCACCTCATTGACAGGGGTTACTGGGTTGAGAACTCAAAGATATTTCCTCAACCATTTCCAAAATTGAAGCAAGCAAGAATCACTGAGCCACAGCTTCTTGCTTCCAGCTGATAAAGCCATGGTGTTTTCTCAATTTTTTTTTCAATTTTATTATATATTTTTTTTTGTTTTTCAGATAATGGTGGAAAGAGTAATGGTTTTCAGTTTTTTTGTTTCGGTGTCTGCTTTTTTTTGTTTTGGCTTGGCTTTCTGTCATATTTGTTTGGCTTTCTGCTTTAGTTTGTTCAGATGTGTGCTGACTTGTCCATGACTTTTGTTTAGTTGTGTTGGTTTTAGTTTTTTGGATCATGAACTCATAGGTTTAGAAGTTTGGTTAGTTTCAATTTCAATTGGGGAAGGGGAAGTGTAATGATGTTTTTCTATTTCAGAAATTGGTATTTTTATAGTCGAGAAATAAAAAATTCTCTGTTGGATTGTGGATATGTGTGATTGGCATGTAGGAATTCTTTCTGGAACTTGGTCTTGAGGTAAGTTTTTTCTACATGTTTTATTATTTTCTAAATCAGATATGGGTATTTATTGTGTCAGGGGATGTTCGGATGGGACAAAATACCTATGCCACATGTGATACAGTCTGAGCACTCAACAGTGTAAAATTGAAAAAACAGAAAAATGTAGAGAAATATGTCAGATGGTTTATGATTTAATTTGTAAAATATTTTAGAAATCTTGCATACTGAATATATATGTTATTTTAATTATTATTAGATTACTTTTT